GCCCGAAATCTGTGATGGTACCCCTTTGGAGTCTGCCAAAAATGGACCCGGAAGAAATCCGCCCAAATTGGCCCTGGATGGACTTAATCGTCGTTGAAGAATAGCCTCAGGCCGAATCCACCATCTTTATCCTTCAAAATCCAAGGGAAATGGCATTTCGAAAAAAATGCTCAAATAATTACGAAAATGTCATCCCAAAATATATAGGCCCAATTAGGTGCTTAATTGACTTAATCATCGGCGCAGAATAGGATCAATAGACTTTATTATCGGTGGTGAATAGCCTCGAGCCGAATACGTGATCTGTAGCCTCCAAAATCAAAAGAAAATGACATTTCGGAAAAATCGCCCGAAATCTGTGATGGTACCCCTTTGGAGTCTGCCAAAAATGGACCCGGAAGAAATCCGCCCAAATTGGCCCTGGATGGACTTAATCGTCGTTGAAGAATAGCCTCAGGCCGAATCCACCATCTTTATCCTTCAAAATCCAAGGAAAATGGCCATTCGAAAAAATGCTAAAATAATTATGAAAATGCCATCCCAAAATATATTGGCCCAATTCGGTGCTTAATTGACTTAATCATCGGCGCAGAATAGGATCATAGACTTTATTATCGGTGGAGAATAGCCTCGAGCCGAATCCGTGATCTGTAGCCTCCAAAATCGATAGAAAATGACATTTCTGAAAAATCGCCCGAAATATGTGATGGTACCCCTTTGGAGTTTGCCTAAAATGGACCCTGTAGAAATCCGCCCAAATTGGCCTTGGATGGACTTAATCGTCGTTGAAGAATAGCCTCAGGCAGAATCCACCATCTTTATCCTTCAAAATCCAAGGAAAATGGCCGTTCGAAAAAAAATGCTCAAATAATTACGAAAATGCCATCCCAAAATATATTGGCCCAATTCGGTGCTTAATTGACTTAATCATAGGCGCAGCATAGGATCAATGGACTTTATTGTCGGTGGAGAATAGCCTCGAGCCGAATACGTGATCTGTAGCCTCCAAAATCGAAAGAAAATGACATTTCGGAAAAATCGCCCGAAATCTGTGACGGTACCCCTTTGGAGTCTGCCAAAAATGGACCCGGAAGAAATCCGCCCATATTGGCCCTGGATGGACTTAATCGTCGTTGAAGAATAGCCTCAGGCCAAATCCACCATCTTTATCCTTCAAAATCCAAGGAAAATGGACTTTCGAAAAAAATGCTCAAATAATTACGAAAATGTTATCCCAAAATATGTTGGCCAAATTCGGTGCTTAATTGACTTAATCATCGGCGCAGAATAGGATCAATAGACTTTATTATCGGTGGAGAATAGCCTCGAACCGAATCCGTGATCTGTAGCCTCCAAAATCGAAAGAAAATGACATTTCGGAAAAATCGC